CATAAGTGTACTAGCTGGTACACCAAATTGTGGCTGATACACCAATATTTGATCGAAATTCTTGATACTTGATCGAAATGGAATTTGAATTTATACCATTTCGGTCAATTAACAAAATCGGTACGTATCGACCGTATCAATTGGTACAAAACAGTACCGACAACACTGCTAGTTATTGGGGTGAGAACAGTGAAAACTTTTATGGATGAATGTACCCAAAATTATCAAAATCAAGAGTTTAACTAAATTCATTTTGATTAGATAAAATTAAAATTATAAAATTGAATTAGTAAAATTAAGAATTTATTAAATTAATTTAAAATTTATCTAAAAAACTTAATTACTAATTAATTATTTCAGATCTTTATTGAGTAATTTTTTATTTCATAGTTATTAAATTATTTCAAGTTTTAATGGTTTAGATCTTACAAAATTTTATAATAAAACATTATTAATTTAACCTATAAAAAATTAATAAAACCTCAAAAGGCCCAAATTGCATGGCCAAATTCGAACCACTACAAAACAACCCATTAATAAAAGAATACGTACCACTCCAGTGCACTACTAGTAAATATTAATTATATTATGATTCAAAAATCTATAAAATCTTTTAAATCTATAAAATCTTGATTTTATCTAATTTTATCCGATTTTACAATTTGACAATTTTGAACCGAAGTATATGAGATTCCAATTTAAACTTTGATTTAAAACAATTTAATACTTAAAATCATGTAATATGATGAGTAAAATTATGATATTTTTATATTTTAAAATTTATAATATTATTTATATCAATTTATTTAATTATATGAATTATATTACATTATTAATCTCAAATTTTGATTACATTTTCTTTCTCTATAACTACTCCTTTTAAATATTTTTTCTTTGGTTTCTTACCAGTTCAAAAAAACAACTACATTTTTCTTTTCCTTTTTCTTTTTCTTTTTTTTTTTTACCGGCAATGGTTACTTTTATGAATGGAAAATTAACACTCATCAATAAATGAGTTGGCCGGCCTGACTTGATCCGCCCTTTTTTTTTCCCTCTTTTATAAAAATAAAAAATAAAAAGATGCAAGTTAACAACTTGGTTGGAGTAAGATACAGAAAGGCAAAAGATGCAGATCACCCCCTTAACTCACCCACTGGTGGCAAATCACCCCCTCAACCTACTCTACGCGCAAATCACCCCCTCAACTCACCTGCAGTGGCAAATCACCCCCTCAAGTAACGCCAGCACCATCCTTCTGTTATCTTTTAATAGGCCGTTCACCTACCCCTCTTCTGCATCTGATGTGGCAGTTTTGTGCTGAGATGGACAAGCCACCTGGACAAATACCCTAAAATTACTTTTATGTCCTTAAATTCTAGGGAAACAAAAAAGGGGATTTGGGTATTTAGGGCTTTACGTCGTTTGCCAGCTTCCTTGCCAATTAAATCTACCAACTAATTTGAATTCCAAATGCCAATTAAAATTTTGAATACAAATGTTTAGACATAGGTAGTATTGAATAACAAGGTCAATTTGAAAAATATGCAACTAGTTGCTACCCACAATTTCAACGAAAACGCAACTAGATTGGTTAGAAAGTGGCGAAAATAAAAATCACAGCTAATTAAGCTTTTCTTCCTCATTGGTGATATTATGCAAAACCCATTACCCTCACTGCAGACTTCAACCTCAAAACATAATATCATAAAAAAAACAGATAGCCATAAAAATAAATATAAAAAAACCATTAACACAAACTCAGGGGTGCAAGCGCGCAGCTTGAATCATATTTCTTTGTCTTGAACAAAAAAATATATACACACACCTTTGGAGCTCAAGAAAAAGAAGGGAGAAATGGATCAATCCTCGATGGAGAAACTGATCTCGTGACCTCGGAACCGGACGGAATCACAACGATCGCCATCAACCGGCCTAAGTCCCTCAACTCGTTGACCCGACCAATGATGAAGAATCTTGCTCAGGGGTTCAAGGCCCTCGGAAAGGACAATTTCGAATGGTTCATAATCCTTACAGGGTCAGGTCGGGCGTTCTGTTCTGGCATCGATCTGACGGCGACGGAGGACGTGTTTAAGGGTGATGTGAAGGACCTGGAGTCTAACACTGTTGCCCAGATGGAATGGTGCCCCAAACCCATTATCAGAGCCATTATCGGGTTCGCAGTCACCGCCAGATCACGAGGATCATTAGAAAACGACACCCCATCGAAGCCGAACTCTTGCGCCTCGAATAATTGACCGTGCTTCTTGGCGAGGAGAGGGGATTTGGGGACGAAGAGGAGAAGAAGACGATAGAAGCTAGCAAACGAAGTAAAACCCTAGATCCCCAAATCCCCAATTTTATTTCCCTAAACAATTTAAGGGATAAGAGTAATTTGTTTGATTGATGATTTTGGGTATTTGATCGTGGCACCTCCAACTCAGCATCCATCTCAAAAAAAAGGCCACGTCAGATGCAGGGCTTATGAGGACCGTTAAAAGCTAACAGAAGGATGATGCCGACGTTAATAGAGGGGGTGATTTGCCACTGCAGGTGAGTTGAGGGGGTGATCTGCGCGTAAAGTGGGTTGAGGGGGTGATTTGCCACCAATAGGTGAGTTAAGGGGGTGATCTGCATGTTTTGCCATACAGAAATTCCACAGAAGTCTCGATACCATATGAGGTGGGGTGGAGGATTTAGTCATGGAATTCGCAATCCCTTCCACAAGCTCCAGTTATTGGGGCGAGAACAGTGGAAAATTTTATGGATGAACGTATTTAAAATTGTCAAAATTAAGAATTTAGTTAAAATTATTTTAATTAAGAAAATTTAAAATAATAAAATTAAATTAATAAAATTGAGAGTTTATTAAATTAATTTAAATTTTATATATCATTAAAATTTAATATTAAATGTTTAAATTTAAAATTTATTTAAGAAATTTACTTGTTAATTAATTATTTTAAATTTTAATAATTTTTTTACTTTAAAAAATTTTTATAATAAAATATTATTAATTTAACTTATAAAAAATTAATAAAACCTCCAAGAGACCAAATTACATGGTCAAAGTTAAACTAATGCAACAAACACCGCTCCAACAACGCGCTACAAGTGATTATTAATAATATTATAATATAAAAATTTCTAAAATTTTTAAAATTTTAATTTTATCCAATTTTATGATTTTATTAAAATTTTACAATTTTAAACTCTAAATTTATGAAATTCTAATTATAACTTAAATCTAACGTGATTTTGATATTTAAAATCATAAAATTATATATTTTTATGAGTAAATTTATAATTTTTTTATGTTTTTAAAATTTATAATATTATTTACGTCAATTTATTTATTAATATAGATATAGATTATATTATATCATTAATGTTAAATTTTAAACCACACTTTCGTCCTCTATAACTACTCCTCTTAAATATTATTTCTTTTGGTTTTTTATCAGTTGAAAAAAACAACTTACTTTTTTTTTTTTTTTTGGGGCCAGCAACGGGTATTTTTATAAATGGAAAATTAACACTCATTAATAAATGAGTTGACTTGACTGGATCTTTCTTTCTTTCTTTCTATTTTTTTCTTTCCTTCTAGAAAAAAAATAATAATAAAAAGATGCAACTTAAGAACTTGGTTGGACTAAAAGTTTCAAAAATTCTACGGAAAGAAGTCTCGGTACCTTGTGAGGTGGGGTAGAGCATTTTAGTCATGGAATTCGGCAATTCGTGACTTCACTTCAACAAGCTTCAGTTATTGGGGCGAGAACAGTGGAAATTTTTATGGATGAATGTACCTAAAGTTGTAAAAATCAAAAGTTTTAGTAAAGTCA